GGTTGTTTTGTTTACAGGCTGAATACTAAAAGAAAGATTGACATGTGAGTTGTTTTGTTTACAGGCTGAATTCTAAAAGAAAAATTGACATGCAAGTTGTTTTGTTTTCAGGCTGAATTATAAAAGAAAAATTTACATTGAGTTGTTTTGTTTACAGGCTGAATTCTGAAAGAAAAATTGACATTGAGTTGTTTTGTTTACAGGCTGAATACTAAAAGAAAAATTAACATGTGGGTTGTTTTGTTTACAGGATGTGCAGAAATGATTATATGAACTTTTTTGTGAATTGTACTAATTAACATAAAATTAATTTTAATATTTGTGCCTCACAAAATTTTATCAAGTGACAAAAAATTATGAAGAGGAAACCCTGTATTCAGATTTCAGACACAATCATTTAGACATAAATTAACATTATTTTGAAAACCATTAGAGGGTTAATAAGAATAAAAGTAGAAAGTATATTCAGATAATGTAGTTATTATTGTGTTAACAAATAACGTTTTATCTTCTCCAAACTAGTTGCAATAATGCTCCATTTTTACAATGATGGTATGATACCAGTTAACTTTTTAAAAGTTAGTCACAGAACACTGTAACCAAATATTCAATATTTTTTACATGAAAGAAGAGATTTCCACCATAATAATATAATATCTTTGATTAATCAATGTTGATTATATAGTTCTAAAGTAGCCTAAATAAGTGAAACAAAGTTGAAAGAAGTTAATAAATTCTGAAAATGATTAACTCAGTCAGGTTATAATTCAGTGATTTCAAAGCTTACATTTTAATGTCTAGTAATGTGATTGATATGAAAATAAAAAAAAAAGTTAAAATAAATATTTTAAATTGAAATTATATACTTATAATTATTACTAATTATTATAGCATTGGTAAACAGGATACATTACGTGTATAGCCGTACCATTTATATCTTCACTTATGTTAGACATCAGTAATATGGAAAACATCCTTCTCAAGAGAATTCTCACTTCTAAAAACATGAAAAATTGGTTCTGTAATAAGCTTGTGTTATAAGAGGTGCAGTTGTCCTAAAAATACTATCTCTAATGAAAACTAACCAAATTCGGAACACCCTGTAAGAGTGTCTGAAAAAAGCCAATGTATGAAAATTTCTTTGGCAATGTTTAATTGATGTTTGTATTGTTGTATTAGCTAAGAAATAATCAGTTATAGGTTGAGGCCTAAACTGGATTGTTGTGTTGATTTCAGAAAAGCTAAAAAAAAACAACAACTTTTTATGGTAATTAACAACCTAATTAAATAAAAACAACTGACATCTGATGTTTCTTTTTGATACTATATGGTAGCATAATTATGTCTGGTCATTTTTATCTGAAAAAAAAAAGGACGTGGGAGGTTTGGACCCCCCCAAGGTCTACATCTGCTTATACAGTATTAAATCAGTTGTTAATTTTTGGCAGATGGGGGTTTGGTCCCTTCCCTTAAATCTATGTCTGTTTATACAACATTAAATAGTTTGGTTACACAATTATAGACTTGAAACATAACACAGTGTGAAAAAAAACCAGTAAATTTATTATTTATTCAACACATAAGTATCCAGAGTGTGGGTAATGGATGCTGCCATCCATTGACTTTCCCTCTAGTCAGCACTTAATTTTAGTAGTGTCACAATAAAAACAAAAAAAAAGGCAAGAAAGTTTATTGAGTTTATCTTAAGAAGATGTTCAAATTTTTGTAAGTTAAAGTTAGAGTGCTGGATGCCTTTGGTTAGAAATAACTGTTTTATAATAACCTAGATTGTTTGCTGAAGTGGGGTGTTAATGAATAAGGACAGAATATCTATGTTGGCCATAATGAATTTGTTTGCTTTAGAAAACTTAGATATCTTTTTGGTCTTTAACAGTAAATTTATCCTCAGTTATTGAGCTTAATGCAGGTTTTTTGAATGATGCTTTACATACAGGTTGAATATATTTTATATGTTTCTATTTTAGAAGGCATGCTTTGTCCCAAATGTTTACTATTCTATTTCAGGCTGGATAAAGCACGTCAAGAACAAGAGAATGTTGCTATTGAAAAGGAAAATCTTGAAAAAAGACTGCAGGATGAGATTAATATTGCTAGGGTAGGTATTACAAAAAAGGGTTTTGAGACATTAGTTAATTTAGTTCTTAACTGCATACCAAGTTCTCCATTTCCTACCCAGTGGTCAAATCTTGAACAACAATGAATATTATTGGTTGAGCTATATTTTTCTGCCATTTTCTTCACCATATTTACAAACAACTGCTTGAAACCTTAAAAAACATTAAATTTTGTTCTATTTCTGTGTTGTGGCACATATTCTAGAAGAATATTTTCATTAATGTTTTTGTCTTGCTTTCCTGTGTTCTTATTATTTTCGCCAAAGACTGTTCTATTATATTTATGAGGTATTATTTAGGTCAGATCATATATATACCCTGTAATAAAAACATTTATAGTTATCCATTTCATTTCAATGAACTTCCATAAAAACCCTTACCCTAATTTTACTGATGCCAAATCCAGTTTTTAATGAAAATTTGAAATATATATACAAAATACAACTAATTATGAGTTCTTAAGTAATAGGTTGTGTTTTATTTATCTTTTTAATAAAAATACGGTATTATAAAGATGAAACAATACAAAAATATACTATGCACAAAGTACTTTTGTAATTGATGTGTAAGTTAGTTTTTTATTTATGTTTTATCTGCTGTGTCATAATTTGATTCTATAGTTACAAACTTACTTCATAATGTGAGCTTTAACTCTCAAACTTGTTTTGACGTCGTTTTTATGGTGGGGTCTACAAATTGTATCATATTAGCTAATTGTACATTTTTGGGATTGCAACACAGTCTAATAAAGAACTGACAAAAGGAAATGGGTTAAATCACTCATTTTCTATGTAAAATAAATAGGGACTCCAAAATTAATTAATTGGAATTAATAATCATTTTGAAAAATGTGTTGGAACCACATGGACCCTCCTGGTAATTATAAGGTAAAAATAAATGTAAGTCCATGACAGACTTCTGTGATTTAATCTTTCATACCAATCAAATTCTAGTATGGTGATCATAAATAGGAAGCTTTATAAGTGAACATTGACAGTGTAACTTGGATAGCTCATTGATAGAGCACTCACTGGTCTTGTAAGTCAGAGGTTCTGGAGTCTCTTTCCACTTATTGGTTTTTCACTTAAATACTTAATATTAATTATTTGAACAAGGGCAAAAAAAAATTAACATCAATAAACTGTGAAGATCAACATGCATGGGAAGGCCACAAAATTCTTTGTTAAAAATGATTTGAAACTGGCAAATAAAAACTTGAAACATAATTAAGGAAATAAATTAAACTATGGAAAGAAATTAAAAGCTGCCCATTTTCATTGTGTTTTTTTTAATGTTCTTGGTAATTAAAATCTCCTTTTGGCACAGACATGTATGAAGAAAAATCCTTAAGGTGCAAAGTGCGTAATTAATATGTACACAAATATTTGATAATTAGTTGGGGCTAATTAGCCTTAGTGAATTTTTTTTTTACGGTTATCTAATCTTTAATGTTATTTGATTGAAGTTGTTTTTCTTAGATTTGCATTATGACGTACAGTAATGTTCTTAAGTCTTCAAGCTGTTATTTATTCATACAGTACACATTATTGTCACAGAATTAAATAGAACCAAACAATTTACATGATCTTTAAATATGTATAAGGGTGTAGACTTTTTACAAAATGGTATTATACATTTAATTTTTGTCCAAAATAAAAACAATATGTTATTTTATTGAAAGAATACAGAATGAAAATATTAATCTATTATTTTCTATAGAAACAAGGTGATGATGGCGATAATGAGGACGTAAACAGAATGCAGCAGTTAGAAGAAGAGCTGGAACACGTACGGGAAGAGTTAAGGAGGGCAGAGAGGGCCATGGAATCAAGAGCTTGGGTTCCTCCTTCAGCTCTCCAACACTGGCTACAACTAACTCATGAACTTGAACTGAGGCATTATAATGCCAAGAAAATTGCAGCTGAACAACAGTTAGCTGCTGCTAAAGAAGGGGTTAGTTTTATTTTCAGATTTCAACAAACCCTGGAATTTTATCTGTAGTTTAAACAGATTAGTAGACATTAAGGGATCAATCCTACATTGTTTTCTGACAGGGTTTTTTGTATAGAAAAAAGAGGAAAGTTTTACAATACTACCAAAATTATGAATGCTTCAGGAATAATATAATTCTTCTTGTGCGTTAAATATTTGAATATTACCTTTTGGCACCCTTTTGGTAACATTTGTAGGTAGATCTTGCTCTTGGTTTATTCTGTTTTGGTACATTTTGTACAGTTCATTAAAGCTGATTTCAGAGGGTGAACAAACATTTGCAGGCATAAATTGTAATCTCGCATTAATACGAGTATCTGAATCTTTATTTGCCATCATCATGATCATCAAATCTATGTCAGCTTGACGTTCATATTTGTATAATTCAGCACGTAAACTTGGATTAGAAGGCTTCTGCATGAATATACAAGTGTGTGTGTTACTTGTCACATTTGCAGAAACTCTTTATTACTTCTAACACTACAACTATTATATTTTTATCACTGAATGATATAGAAACAGCATTTGTTTTAATAAAAACAATAAGCTTTTATGTTGGTTGAATACTTTTAGCAAAAATCAACCTGGGAAAATATAATGTGGTTCCATGAGTTGAATTTGAGAAACATCATGAAAGAATATCATGTCTTGAAAAGTGGAAAATAACTATTTTAATTTTCTGTTTCTCTAATATATTTCATTGAAGTGTGTCCATCATTGGACACTAAAACAAAGGAGAATTTTCTCAATCCAAATGATAAAATTTCTACCATTTCAGTAGAGAGTAGGAGTGATATCCAAGTCATAAATTAGATTAATTCCCGGTATTACAAATTCTTAAGATTTTAGTGAGCTTTAATTGTGTTATATCAAATTATTTTTAAAAAGTAGGCATTATTGTTGTTAGAGATCATGTTGTAAGCAAATTAAATTTCATTACCCACATTATTTTCTGAACTTTTAGGCCATTTTCAGAACATAAAAAAATTAAACTTTTTATTTCATATTGTGTGATATCTTGTCTTAATCTAAAAGAACTTCTTAACCAAAAGGTTGTTGCAAAAAATGACTGTTAAATGTTCTGTTTGTATATCTCACCCTAATGACTGTTAAATGTTCTATTTGTATAGCTCAACCTAATGACTGTTAAATGTTCTATTTGTATATCTCAACTTAATGACTGTTAAATGTTCTATTTGTATATCTCAACCTAATGACTGTTAAATGTTCTATTTGTATATCTCAACCTAATGACTGTTAAATGTTCTATTTGTATATCTCAACCTAATGACTGTTAAATGTTCTATTTGTATAGCTCAACCTAAATATCTTACACTTTTTGAATTATAAAAAGAAATAAAATTTTTAAACATTGTCTATATTAAAAAATTAAATTAATAGCTTACATTTTTGTTTTAAAAACTGGAAGTATACAAGTTTATTTTCCTTTATGTGGATTGTAACTTTTAAACCATCATCCACAACAAGCATATCTTTTACTTGTACCAGCCAAAAAAATAAAGAAAAAGTCAAGTATCTTTCAAGATGGAAATATCGTTTACTTTACTAAAAACTACGATAAAGTTGCAAGCCGAAAGATCAGTTAAAAATCGGATATGTGAAACAACTCGTTTAGAGACAAAATGTTTTTGTATTTGCTTACGTGTTCATCCATTTTATAGTATTTATTCTTTCTTTTTTAAAAATACTTGAGTTGCACTATAACTGCAGGTTTCAGTTGTGTATTTTCTTGTAATTGACCAGTGTGAAAAGCTGAAAAAAAAGAGATCAAATTTTATGGGAACATTCAGGATTGCTCATGGAAGTTCCATTGCAATGGAACTGCTAATAAACTATCTAGAATGTTTACCACAAAATACCAAACAACACACTGTTAATGTGAACTTACCTTGCTTGAAGAATCTTGTTGTCTATATCATCAATGGAACTGCTAATAAACTATCTAGAATGTTTACCACAAAATACCAAACAACACACTGTTAATGTGAACTTACCTTGCTTGAAGAATCTTGTTGTCTATATCATTTTATGTAGATAAAAAAAATCCTTCAAACTATGTTCAACACCCACTCTGTGAGTCGGGAAGACACGTTTGATGTGTTGATCCCGAAACAAATCTTTTTGGTACTTTTGTTTTTGTAACTTTTAAAAATCCTGATTAGATATTTTAACTTCTTGAGATATCTGGAATCTGAATTGCCCAGCAATGTGGCCAAATTTGCACTTGTAAAACCAATACCCCCATCCAAACACATAGTAGTGGTTTGATATGTTACGCAACACAAGATCTGGTTTTTCACCTTCATAAAGCTGTTTTCTTAGTATTTTGCGAGTTCTCTCAATAGAGATGGCTGAGGGAGGCTAACAAAGCCTATTTATTGCTGTAAGGTGGTTAAGGGTGATATCTGCCTTGAACATGAACACTTGTACTATCTTGTTCAAGAAGAACACAGTCCAGCCAACCTCTTAAACTCTGCATCTTTGTGGCTGAACATTATTGAGAGGCGTATTCTTTTGGCAGAAAAGTGAGTTTTTTTTTTTATTTAGTTTAACAGATTGTGCTCTTTATTGGACTACATTTTTATTGGTTTTAACTTGAATATCAGAAACCGTGACACCCCTCTGTAGCCCATCCAGTCCTCCAAATTTGGCCCTATTGACTTGAAGACTGGGTGGTAAAAGTAAGTTTATATTAACAATCTGGTCTTTCACATTTTATGGTAAATAATAATTAATATTAATTTTTAACAAAGCAAACTAACTGCTTAGATCAAGACTAAACATTAACCCATTAATAAATAAAGGTAATTAAATATACATTTTTACTTACAATGTATTATTTTACCAGTTGAAATACCCTTGCTCTTAACATTATTTTTGGCTGTAATTCCAATAATACCTCACAAGGTTAGGCCAGTTTAGGAGATCTAGGTTAATCCTAAATCTATGTACTGAGCAAACAATGCAAAATAATAAATAATATAATGTATAGTAAATATTCTACCAAATAATGTTAATGAAAGTAACATTGAAGAAAAATTACAGTATGGAATACATGAAAACTAACACTTTGTTTCAGTAATGACTATTAATATTGTACTAAGAGTTTTTCTATTAGTGTTATTTAGTAAACCTAATTAATATACTAACAGTTTGGGGTCAGTAAAGTTGAACAGAACACTACAGTTTACTCTGGTGTTCTTTTTGTCAGTAATGTTTAGTAAAGCACTGAATCTCACTCTGCTGTTATTGTTAGTAGTGTATGTGTAATTGTTGAGGCTCACTGTGTTCTTTCATCAGTGTTAATAGCATGTGATTAGTCACTCAAGTTCTCTCTGATGTTCTTGTGTCAATAGAGCTCACTAAATTATTATTTAAGTATATATATATATATATATATATATATATATTAATATTGGTTTGTTAATGTTACTTAGTGGAATAGTCAGTAAGTTTACGTTAGCATTTTTAACATTATTTGATTTTGCCAGTGTTATTGTGTAATTCATTAAGTGCTTGTACATTCTGTTCTGTATGACAAATGTGTTTATAAATCAGTATGTGTGCATTCAAACTAGTAGTCTGTTGTCAGTCATTTTTAGTAAATCACTCTTAGTGAACAGTAAGTGCCTAGAGCTGAAAATGTGTGATTTTGGAAATATCGTGTAATGTCATGACTTTTGATGACATTTTTATTCTTTGTTATTCTTTATTGATAAAATACAAGTGTATACGTGTGAATGGTTAAAAGTATTTACAAAATGGATAGTATCTATCGTAAGTTATAACATGAATTCTTCTATCGAGCCTGAACAATCTGGATTAGATGTTATTTTTATAAAATTACTGGAAAGATTACTGAATTAAAATAAAGTATTTTTGTATTTAGGTTATGGTTACTCATATTCTCAATGTAAATATTGGTATATTTTTATAATTATTTGTGTCCAAAATCACAAAAGATACCAGCATTCAATAAAGATTTATATATTCCAATTTTTTTAAGGTCAGAGGTCAAACCTAAACCTAAGTTATTTATAAGGGGAAAAGATTTAGAATACACATTGTGACAGTGTTTGAAAGATATAATTAACAAATGGAATGTTGTCAGATTGGGACCATTTCAATGGACAAATTACTGATGAATTCCATGAACCATCATGAAGTCTGTCATATTAATCTCAAACTCAAATGATTATGGCTACTTTCTGATAATCAGAAATCCAAAGAAACATTGTCTATGAAACCTCATATTTTAGTTGAGTCTGATTCATAGAAGAAATATATGGAGACATAGGATTAGAAAACAAATTGGAGATTTTTGGATTTCGGTGTTACAAAAAAATGAAGAACTGGACATTTAGATGTTGATCCAGTTAAGCACAAAACATTTATATTACAGTCTTGCTGTAATAGACTCATACTAACACTAATACCTCAACAACTGCCACAACAAAAAATGCCTGGAATATTATTTCAGTGGTGCATTTCTATGCCCTAAATTTGAATCTGAAAACCATTTTTTTCCCCATGTGGTGTTTTTGCTGAGAAATTGGGCCCGAAAGTTAGAAACTTTCATCATTAAGCGTATATAGGGAAATACCCATCCTTCTTGCAAGTAAATTAACATTGTGTCTTGTACAAGTTGAAGGTTTAAATTTGACTTTTGTTGAGTTACTTTTCTATAGAATTTTTGTGATAAAACTTTATACAAAACTTATTGACTATAACATACTTTTCAAATATATATATAAAAGTAATGCCACATAGTTATGATTCAAACTTTTAACTTGCACAGCAAGACACAAAGGCTATCATTGCTGGTCAAACTGGCTTATTGGCAAGGAGAGTAGGACTTTCCCATGTACTCTAAATTGTTTAATGGTGAAAGATCCTGAATTTGGAGCCAATTCTCCACTAAAAAACAGGGGGGGTCAGTTTTTTTATTTGGATTCAGGGCATAAAAGTATACTGGTGAAAAGTTATTCCATTTCATTTTTGGGTTTGACAGTTTCCAAGATATCCATGTAAGCTGCCCACACCAGTGATATACCAATAGAGCAGTCTTCCTAGAGCTGAGATGGGCTAACTAAAAATTATGAATGACTTATACAAAAGGAAAAAATATAATAAGATTTGCCAGTGAGAAACAATACTAAATCAATATTATTTTATGTGTTGAGCTAG